GGAAGGATGGCCGGTTCCCAACAGATAGCCCTGCCAAATACGTGGTGATGAAAAGGGTACAAATGGTAAGATAAATAAGAGTGATCACTGGGTAGTGAGGTTTGCACCTGGCTATTGGTACCTTCGAGCATTCTCTTTGTTCTGTGGCCGATACTCCGTCAAAACTGGTCGGATCGATTGTCACTAAAAGGAGCTATGAGTAGAAATGCCTTCCCTTTACTTGAGTGCATCCTCTACCTGAGGATGGTCTCCCACAACACAGCAAGTTTAAGCTCCTCTCCCCCTTTAGGGATTTTCAAGCTTAAGGGTCCCAAAGAGGAAGCAACAAATGTCCCATGGACCAGATTGGTCAAAAAATTGAGCCCCAAGAAGAGCGAAGTTTCAAAGCCACCCCCAAGTCATGATGGAAAGCCATGGTTTGAGGACTCCCCAAATCTTAAGAACCACCCCACCAGGGCGGGCAGTACACCACCTGAAGGTGCTTTGGACACATGCGCTAAAGTAGACCCCCGTCCACCTGCGAAGCGAAGCGTTCAGACATCGCAGCCAGGCCAGGGTACGGGTACTTTTTGGTAATGAAAGAAATGACATCCCTCTAATGTCCCTCTAATATAATACAAGCCATAATGAATGAATATGGTAAAGGTTAACACCATACATTTTTAACACGGTGTTTGAAATGGTGTGTTCATAATATAGTAAAATCATAAGAAACCATCTAGAGGGCTTCCTTGCCAGGGTCGATTACCTATTGGTAAATGGTTCCCCGAGAGGATTATAGTGATCCCAATTCAACCAAGTCAGTAACAAGTCAGTGCAAAACCATGTTGTTTAATTCTTCTATGGCCGTGGTGGAGGACTTACATCCATTGGATATGACGCAACCATCAGGAAATCCATGCCTTCTGTCTTTTGTGGCTGAGCAGGGCTTTGAGAAACAGCACTTTCCAAGTCACCTACGCCGGATCTGCTCCATGTTCAAATTTTCCCGTTTAAAGTTTGCCACTCACAAATTGAAATCCCACATCTTATGGTATCTATCTATCTATTTATCTATCTATCTATCTATCTACCTAGCTATCTATCTATCTATCTATCTATCTATCTATCTATCTATCTATCTATCTATCTATCTATCTATCTACTTATCTATCTATCTATCTATCTATCTATCTATCTATCTATCTATCTATGTATCTATCTATTTATCTATCTATCTATCTATCTATACCAACCTACCTACCTATCTATCTGTCTGTCTATCCGTCTGTCGATCTATCTATCTATCTGTCTATCTATCTATCTATCTGTCTATCTATCTGTATATCTGTCTATCTATCTGTCTATTTATCTATCTATCTGTCTGTGTATCTTTCTATCTGTCTGTCTATCTGTCTATCTATCTGTCTGTCTATCTATCCATCTATCGATCGATTTATCTATCTGTCTGTCTGTCTGTCTATCTATCTGTCTACCTATCTATCTATCGATCTAATCTATCTAATCCATCTAACCCATCTAATCTATCTAATCGATCTAATCGATCTAATCGATCTAATCGATCTAATCGATCTATCTATCTATTTATCTATCTGGCTATCATCTATCTAGCTATCTATCTATCTATCTATCGATCGATCTATCGCTCTATCGATCTATCGATCTATCGATCTATCGATCTATCGATCTATCTATCTATCGATCTACCGATCTATCTGTCTATCTGTCTGTCTACCTATCATCTACCTATCTTTCTATCTATCTATCTATCTGTCTGTCGATCTATCTATCTGTCTATCTATCTATCTACTTCGTTTCTAATCTGCCTAATCTATCTAATCTATCTGGCCTATCTAATCTATCTAATCTATCTAATCTATCTATCCTACCTATCTATCTTTCTATCCATCTATCTATCTACCTATCTATCTATCGATCTATCTAATCTATCTACTCTGTCTATCTAATCTATCTATCTATCTATCTATCTATCTATCTATCTATCTATCTATCTATCTATCTATCTATCTATCTATCTATCTATCTATCTATCTATCTATCTATCTATCTATCTATCTATCTATCTATCTATCTACTGCTTTATCTAACCTATCTAACCTAGCTAATCTATCTAATCTATCTAATTGATCAATTCTATCTATCTAGTATACCTATCTATCTATCTATGTATCTGTCTATGTATCTATCTTTCTATCTATCTATCTATCTGTCTGCCTGTCTATCTATCTATCTACCTTTCTATCTATCTAATCTATCTGTCTGTCTGCCTGCCTGTCTTTCTGTCTTTCTGTCTTTCTGTCTTCCTGTCTATATCTACCTATCCACCTGCCTAATCTATCTAAACCTATCTAATATATCTAATCTATCTAACCTGTCTAATCTATCTCATCTATCTTTCTTTCTTTCTATGCGTCTATCTGTCTATCTACATATCTTTCTTGCTATCTTTCTATCTTTCTATCTTGCTATCTATCTATCTTTCTTTCTTTCTATCTATCTTTCTATCTATCGATCTATCTATCTATTTGTTTATCTAATCTATCTAATCTATCTAATCTATTTAACCTATCTACCTGTCTATCTATCTACCTACCCACCTATCTATCTATCTATCTATCTATCTATCTATCTATCTATCTATACCAACCTACCTACCTATCTATCTGTCTGTCTATCCGTCTGTCGATCTATCTATCTATCTGTCTATCTATCTATCTATCTGTCTATCTATCGATCTATCTGTCTATATGCTTATCTAATCTATCTAATCCACCGAATCTATCTAATATATCTAATCTATCTAACCCATCTAATCTAATCTATCTACCTACCTACCTATCTGTCTAACTATCTATCTACTTATTTATCTAATCTGCCTAATCTATCTAACCTATCTGGCCTTTCTAATCTATCTAATCTATCTAATTTATCGAACCTATCTATCTATCTATCTATCTATCTGTCTATCAATCTGTCTATCTCTCTTTCTATCTATAGAGGCTATAGGGCTTTTCGAGAAGACGGCACACCGAACCAGGTGACCAGGTGGGTCCATGATGGCAACAGGCCTTTTTTATTCAAAAAAACGCAGGGGCCAAAGTCCATTCATGGGGTCCATCATAATAAATGAAAAAAAAACTATACTAAAACCATTGCAACGGTGGTGTACCATCTTAGACGCCTGTACTAAATCAAATACATAAAAGCAAATATGCATAGAGATATATATATATACACACACATATACGTTTATATACTTACTTGGGTAGGGTTCAAACTTTCCTTTTACTTTCCTTTTCCTTTCCTGTTCCTTTCCTTTTTCTTTCCTTTTCCTCTTCCTTTCCTCTTCCTTCCTTACCTCTTCCTTTCCTTTTCCTTTCATGTTCCTTTCTTTTTCCTTTCGTGTTCCTTTAATTTTCTCTTCCTTTTCCTCCTCCTTTCCTCTTCATTTCCTCTTCCTTCCTTTCCTATTCCTTTCTTCCTCTTCCTGTCCTTTTCTTTTCCTTTTCCGTTCCTTTTCCTTTCCTATTTTTGACAAAACCATGATAGCGATAGGCCCGCCCCCCAAAAGCGATACCCTTTTTTCGGGAACTTAGGGAGGACCCAAGAAAAACCATGGAAAATGGAGCGGTACAAGCCAAGAGTGAAGATCAAAACATACATGGCGTTTTCCAATACAAGACAGGTGCATACTTCTTGCAAGTGGGGGTGTCAGACTAAGATGGCACACCCTGCTTTCAACAGATGCTGGGGATAGGGGCACTAGTCTTGGATAGCTTTGGTGCCTTTAACTTTAGTCACTATGATGGCACACAGAAATGGGGTGGGTCCTAGACTACCATCATAAACCACAAGGTTTCGGTGAGGGCATAAACACCTCTTGGATGGCATAAATGCATCGTTTTGTGTGTGTGTGTGCCATCTTATCGAAAACCCCTATATCTATCTATCTATCCATCCATCCATCCATCCATCTATCTACCTACAGTCATACAGATTAAATCCCCTCTAAAATGCTGGGTTTTACATCGAAATCGGAGCATTGAGTCCACTGTCCGGAGGCCTTGTGCCAAGTGCACTTGGAGTTGCAGGGGTCTTCGTTCCAACTCGGCCTGGAAATCGATTGTAGACCCCCAAGTGGCTCAAGGGTCAGCAGGAAACCCAAAGGGACAGTGCTTGATGGCCACAAGCTTCTTTGAACGCAAGTGCCAACAAAAATGGGCCTTCACATTGCCCCTTTACCCGTTTGAAACTGCGCGATAGAACCAAAAATTGGAAGCCAGGCAACGAAATGTGAGTGGTTACACCATCAGATTCCATCCTGTTCCATCCCAGTGCCTTGAAACCATCAGCATCCAATGAAGTCGCAGACCTCCCATTGATGCTCTTGATCTCTGAGCTTAGAGGCACTCGACCTGCCAGGGTTCCGAATTCGGTCAGGTAAAGCTATATAGTTGACCATACAATGTAGAAATCTTGAAGTAATCGTACATGTATCACACAATGAAACATCCATGTGGGTAAAATTTTGGTAATTTACAGAGTCTATACTGCAAAAAGAAAAGTGACTACATTCCTATATTTCAACCCACACCGGCTTGTACCATGGTCAAAATGTGGCACCATAACTTGAATCAAATCATCAAAAAAACTACAGTATCCGAAGAAATAGCTATGTATCGCATGTGGCCATATTATCACCCTAGATCCCCAGAAATATCCCATGAAATCCCACTAAAATCCCAAATGCCATCAAAATCCTACTAAATCACCAGAAATATGCCATCTGACCTGGCGCATTGCTCCAAATTGTGCCCATCATCTAATCACCCAGCCTTCTGCCCAGGAGCCCGGCAGAACCTGCGCAGTCCAGGGAGTTCAGCCAACAAAAATGGTGACTTAAACAGCAAACTAAGTTGCTAACTAAATGGTAGTTTAACCAACCACAATGGTATTGTCATGAGGGTACTAACTTGGATAATTGCACCCACTGGCCAAGAATTGGAAAAAAGAACATGTGGAGTGGTCTTTCCGAGATCTGCGGGGGTTTCCCATGTTGTCACCTTCAGGCCGATCCCCACATCTCCGGGCATTTTTGTCGCACCGAAACATCACCGGGTGCTCAGCTTGTGAAAAAAGTGACCGGTCCCGCCCTCCGTGCCCCATTTTTCCACGGGCCACACGGGGAGAAACCAGTTGCCAGTGAGGCAACTCTCATTAGCTCACAGCCACCAAGCTGTGCCATGATTTCCATTGCCTAAGCCTTCTTGATGGCATCGACTTCAGCCTTCACCTGCACAAGTCGGGACATTGAGTGCCTGCATTGGTTCAAAAATCCTGGATTGGTGTGAAACTTCAACCAGCCAAGTGTGGCATATGTAATATGTGAATATACATACTTACATACACACATTACATTACAATACATTACATTACATTACGTTACGTTACATTCCATTACATTCCATTCCATTCCATTCCGTTCCATTCCATTCCACACATAAATACGACATACATACATACATTCATACATTCATAAATTCAAACACTCATGCATACATTCATACATTCATACATTCATACAATCATACATACATTACATTACATTACAGTACAGTACATTACATTACATTACAGTACATTACATTACAGTACAGTACATTACATTACATTACATTACCTACATACGTACATACATACATACATTACATACATTACATACATTACATACACGCCATTGCATTACATTCCATTCCGTTCCATTCCAATCCATTCCATTCCATTACGTTACATTGCAATACATACATACATACACACATACATACATCCATACATACTTACATTACGTTACGTTACGTTACATTACGTTACGTTGCATTTCATTACATACATACATACATACAATACAATACAATACAATACAATACAACACAATACAACACAACGCAACGCAACACAACACAACACAATACAATACAATACAATACAAAATATAGATATGTATATATATATATATGCAGTACAGCAATGTACAGTATATATATATATATACAATATATACATATATATATACATTTTGCAGGCCATGGATGTGGTTGGAGGTGGTTGGCTGTGGTTGAGATGGTTCCCATTTTGGGGCAATGAGTTCCATGCTCAACGTGCCCAAAACTTCCATCATTCCTGACTCTACTGGTTCGCTGGGCTTCCCATATTAAATAACATGAGATTAACCATAGAGCGCTAATCCCCATTGAGTATATGCAATGATAATGTATGCTGAGACAGAACCATCCATGACAGGTCAAATGAGCAGTGCTTAAAATCCTCTGTAATTCCATTATACTGGCTAGACAATAGAAGAGATGTCAATCGTGGAGAATGATACTCTCCACTATCTTTGGGTACTACAAGACAAGTTGAAATCGCCAACCATCATCTATCATTTATATCCACTCGTATCCCCCATATGTTGATACGAACTGAATCATCCCCCTGTCGAAAGCCACTGGCCATTCGGCCACATCGGCCATAGCCTCCTGTCGTCGCTTGGTCAATGGATTGGCCAAGGCGGCCACGAAGGCAGCGCCGTAAATCAGGACCAATGCGATGCCGCCCACCTGGTGGCTGAGGATGTTCATAGGAATTCCAATAGTCACCAAATGGTGATTTCGCAACCATCCACAGTATCATGGGCTAATGGTACTATATTGTCACTAGCCTAATGGCATAGGATTGGATATTACATGGGTAATTGTGATGAGACTCTTGTACTGGGATCTTTCACGGGTGATTTCATGGTAGAAAAAACGGGGTTCATATGTCCCATGAAATATCCTACGATGATGGTAATCATCCCATGAAAGAAATGATGGTGATGCTGATTAGGATATTTCATGGGATGATAATGGGACAATTTTCATGGAATTGCAATGGGAAAGTAACCAGTTCTTGAAATTTCAATGCATCGATTTTTATATTTTAGATTCAGTATGAAACTATGCAGATTTAGGAAAACGACCGTGGTTTCCTGCAAAATGATCAACATTGGTTGAATTTCTATATCTATATTGCACTATGTCCATTTACTGGAGGGTCTTATTGATTCATTACTCTTAGTTCCAGTCATGTCATGGTTCGGTGAAAATATGGTCCGATGGTCTCCACACGAGTTGCAAATTTCGAGGCAAGATGTGTGCAAATTGTGCCCCAACTGACCATTTGGTGATATTTGGTCGCTGGCTAATGTCCATACTCAGTTCCACTCTACCATACTCTACTTGGCCAAGTACCGTTTGGTTATATATGTGTCAGTTTACCCTGGTCCCCTTCTGTTCCCACCAAGCCAACTGAAACTTATGGATGTTTATGACAAAAATGGAAACCGGAAAAATATCGAAAAATTCATATGTAATTTGATCCATCCCCACATCTCTTGTCACTGATCACTCTACCGGACTCTACCGTTTCTCATTTCACACTCACCCGGCTCAAATGCTGCACCGAGCAACGAGCCAGCCTTGGCAGTCATGGTACCCCGTGAGTTTCGCGAGTTTCGGTTAATGTTCGTGGTATTAGTTCAACCCCCTTAGCAGTCCGGAATTCTGGTTATGAAGTTCATTCACCACGTAAGACAATTACGGCTAGACCTTTGCCCAATTCACAAAGAGTCCGAGCCTGCAGTGTTGTGCATAGCGGGTCCGTTTTTCAGGTAGGGGTGTCATTGAGGACAGAGGATCGCATGTAACTGGAGCAATAATTCCAGTCAGTTCTTTGGCAGAACGACAGGGCCAGCTGTTGTTGTTGTTGTTGTTGTTCTTGTTGTAGTTCTTGTTCTTGTTTTTCTTCTTGTTCTTCTTGTTCTTCTTGTTCTTCTTGTTCTTCTTGTTCTTCTTGTTCTTCTTGTTCTTCTTGTTCTTCTTGTTCTTCTTGTTCTTCTTGTTCTTCTTGTTCTTCTTGTTTTTCTTGTTCTTGTTGTTGTTGTTGTTGTTGCTGTTGTTCTTGTTGTTCTTGTTGTTCTTGTTGTTCTTGTTGTTCTTGTTGTTCTTGTTGTTTTTGTTGTTCTTGCTGTTCTTGTTGTTCTTGTTGTTTTTTGTTGTTCTTGTTGTTCTTGTTGTTTTTGCTGTTGTTTTTCTTGTTGTTCTTGTTTTTGTGTTCTTGTTTTGTTGTTGTTGTTGTTGTTGTTGGTATTGTTAGTGCTATTGCTATTGCTATTGTCATTGTTCTTGTTTTTGTTCTTGTTCTTGGTCTTGTTAGTGTTAGCGTTTGTGTTGTTAGTGTTGCTAGTGTTGTTGGTGCTGTTAGTGTTATTGTTATTGCTCTTCTTCTCCTGGTTGTTCTTCTTGTTCATCTTGTTATTGTTGTTTTTGTTGTTGTCCGTGTTATTCTTGTTCATCTTGTTCTTCATGTTCTTCTTGTTATTCTTGTTCTTCTTGTTATTCTTGTTCATCTTGTTCTTCTTCTTCCTCCTCTTCTTTCTCCCCTTATTATTCTTCTTATTATTATTCTGTGTTTTCTTTTTCTTCTTCTTCTTCGTCGTCGTCGTCGTCTTCTTCGTCTTTTTTTATCTTATCGTTCTTTTTGTTATTCTTCTTGTTGTTCTTCTTATTGTATTTGATGTTGATTTTCTTGTTATTCTTTGTGTGTTTCTTCTTGTTCTTGTTCTTGTTCTTCTTGTTCTTCTTGTTGTTGTTGTTGCTGTTGGTGGTGGTGGTGGTGGCGGTGGTGGTGGTGGTGGTTTTGTTGTTGGTATTGTTGTTCTTGTTGTTGCTTTTCTTATTGTTATTGTTCCTGCTGTTGTTTTCCTATTGTCGCTGTTCCTATTGCTGCTTTTCTTGTAGTTTTCCTAGTTCTTGTTGATCTTGTTATTCTTGTTGTTGTTCTTGTTCTTCCTGTTCTTGTTGTTCTTGCTGTTCTTGCTTGTCTTGATCTTCTTGTTCTTCTTGTTGTTCTCGTTCTTGTTGTAGTTCTAGTTCTAGTTGTAGTTGTAGTTGTAGCCGTAGTATTCGTCGTCGTCCTTCCTCGTAGGGGTAGGGGTAGGGGTAGGGGTAGGGTAGTGGTGGCGATGGTAGTAGCAATGCTAGTGGCAATGCTGGTAGCAATGCTAGTAGCAATGCTAGTAGCAGCGCGAGTACCAATGCTAGTAGCAATGCTAGTGGCAATGCTAGTAGCAATGCTTGCAGCAATGCTCGTAGCAATGCTTGTAGCAATGCTCGTAGCAACGCAAGTACCAATGCTAGTAGCAATGCTAGTAGCAATGCTAGTAGCAATGCTAGTAGCACTGCGAGTAGCAATGCGAGTAGCAATGCGAGTAGCAATGGTAGTTGCAATGGTAGGAGCGGTGGTAGTAGTAGAGGTGGTAGTAGTGGTGGTAGTAGCAATGGTAGTAGCAATGGTAGTAGCAATGCTAGTGGTAATGCTAGTAACAATGCTAGTAGCAATGCTAGTAGCAATGCGAGCAGCAAGGCGAGTAGCAATGCTAGTAGCAATGCTAGTAGCAATTCTAGTAGCAATGCTAGTAGCAATGCTAGTAGCAGTGCAAGTAGCAAAGCTAGTAGCATTGCTAGTAGGAATGCCAGTAGCAATGCGAGTAGCAATGCGAGTAGGAATGGTGGTAGTAGCGATGGTAGTAGCGGTGGTAGTAGAGGTGGTAGTAGTGGTGGTAGTTGCAATGCTAGTAGCTAGTTGCAATGCTAGTAGCTAGAAGCAATGCTACTCACAATGCTATTCGCAATGCTACTCGCAATGCTAGTAGCGATGCTGGTAGCGATGCTGGTAGCAATGGTAGTAGCCATGATAGTAGTGGTGGTAGTAGTGGTGGTGGTAGGATAGTAGAGCAGCAGCAGCAGTAGCAGTAGCAGCAGTAACCCCATAGATTTATCTGACCGTTGAAGTCCAGATAGTTGGATTCCTGTTTGTAGGCAGGATGGAAATCTACAAAGCCTTGAAACGCCAACCAGCCGGGCAGTCACAATTGCAAGGTGACCTGGAATACACCAGAAGTATACAGAAAAGAGTGTGAAACAAGGTCTTAGCCTTCAAACAACACACAAAAAAAAATATAAAATAGTTTATCGCTGAAATGAAATTTTGATGACATGACACAAAAATGAAGCATGTCAAGGATGCATCGGACATTTGGTGAGCCAAAAAATGGGCATACAACATGTGTATCTCGTGGCGTTCCGCCCCCCAATGCCCATGCCAGTTCCTTGAAAATCCAAGTGACTCTGCAACATGGCCACCACGCTGTCATAGGCGGAGGCAGGCTGCTCCAACGCCAAGGGGGTCAAACCGGCTGCGATGGCCGCCACACGGGCAGTGTCAACCTTTCAGGGCTGAGATCAGAACCAGAAAAAAGGTCAGGTGACGGGTCAGGTGACCCAACGCAGGGCTTTGTACATGTTTGAAACTGTGTTTGTACTATCTACAGAACAGTTTCGGAGACTAGTGACGCAGTGATCCTTTGTGGCCTCCACCGGTGCTGGCGAGCGGTTCGGTGCCACGAAGGTCTTAGAACGGTGCCACGGGTGGAATCCGTTGCGATCATGTCTGGATCCGCCGGGGGGCGTGTGACAAGTGAACATTTTTGACAAAATTTGAATCTGTCAAATCTATTTCCCCACATTGACGTGTGGGGTTTTTGTTTTTAGTCTTCTTCCTCCTCCTCCTCCTCTCGTCCTCCTCCCGTCCTCCTCCCCGTCCTCCTCCTCCTCACTCACTCTCACTCTCTCTCTCTCTCTCTCACTCACTCACTCGCTCACTCACGTGGCAGGCATGTGGCAGGCGTGGGAGAATGTGGAGTGCCAAGGGGTCGGATGTACGCCCTGGCGTCCCTCCGGGGTCCCTTGGTCTCCGCTGCTTTTGCGTGGCAGGCGTGGGACAATGTGCACTGTCAAGGGGTCGGATGTACGCCCTGGCGTCCCTCCGGTGTCCCTCCATGTGCTTTGGAGCTTGTCCACCCTGCTTCATTTCGCCTTGATGCTTCGCTTCTTCACAACTCTGGGATGCTCCAGGTTATCCACTCTGAGGCTGATAAGGTTTGGGTTGACTCGTGCAATGGCATTGAGCCAGGGCATGAAGTGTGGCAAAAGAAGATCACTGCGAGGTTGGATCTTTTCCAAGCCTTCGAGGCGCAATGGTCTGAACTGTGGAACAGACATGCAGCTGTGGCGCCCTCTCAGCGGCAGGACATGGTGGATCAAGTCCCAACTGCGCCCCATCCAGCCCCCGGCTCCGAACTTTTCTGTGCAGACCATGAATGCGGTGTGCTCAACGTAAGTCTCGGCACTCAGCTGTCAGTCTTGATGGTGTGTCTCAGCAGGATGTCATGTCTCTGCACCCTCTGAAGTTGCTTGCCTGTTGAAGATCTATGGACAAGCTTCCTCCACCGAGGCCTGGCCCGACCAAATGCTGTGTGGGTACGTCCGGTCCCTTGCCAAAACGGGCAATCCTGAGCCGCTTGGCCATTACCGTCCAGTCACCATCTTCGTCTTCGTTGGCTGCCAAGCATTGGTTGAAGCAGATCAGTCAAATCGTTGATCCGGGTCTTTTCGGGAGCACCACTGGAGGCAGAGCGTCAATGGTTTGGCGCCATGTCCTTGACTCAGTTGAAGCTGCCCATCAAGGTGACCAACCTGTGCGTGGATTTTCAGCTGACATTGTCAAAGCGGTCAATGCCCTTCCCAGGCTCCTTGCCCTTACGGCAGCCAAATTGCTTGGAGTTGACCAGGGCACCCTTCAGGCGTGGGCTGGTGCTCTTGCAGGTTTTCGCCGACACTTTGTGATCCAAGGGTCCTATAATCGCCAGGTGTCACATCTTGCAATGGATTCCTTGAAGGTTGTGCCACGTCGTGTGTTGCTATGGTTGTCTTGGCTGACTTGTTCCACAAGTGGATTCGTGCCACCAATGTGACTTTTCGTCCGGTTTCTTGCGTGGACACTTGGGCCATCCTTCTCCAATCCCCGGAGTCCATGCAGTCGGCTTGTGATGCGGTGGATCGGTTTGCTATAGCATGTTTCACATCAACTTGGATGCGCAGAAGAGCTTTATCTCAGAGCCAATGTATTCCGTGTTGTGAATGCCACGCGCGATCTTGGCGCCCATGTGGTGTACACCAGACAAATTGCCAACCGCACTACCTTGGATCTGGTTTTTGACTTGTCAGACTTTTGGGGCAAGCTTGGTTCTGCTGCGTGCACGTTTCAGCAGAAAGCCTCCTTGGTTTCGCGTGTTGCTTGGCCCCGTGCCCTGCATGCTGTGTCTGCTGCGGTTGTTGGTAAGCGACACTTTGAAAGCCTGCGTACGTCTGTCATGCAGTCACTTGGAGGCTTCTGGTGCTAATCCTGACTTTTGACCCTCAGGTCTATGCGGTTGTGGAAACTCGCGATGCCCGCAGTCTTGGTTACCATGCCCAAATCCACATCGCCCTTGCGCATGGACCTTTGAGCTCAGAAGAACCGCAGTTCAATTCCCTGTCTGAAATCCTGTGCCAGCGACTGCAGCAAGCTGGTCTCGAGGTGTTACCCAGTGCCACTGCCCGTGATGCCATTGGGAGTAGTAGAATTTGCCGCTGCATCCGCCGCCAAATCGACGCCGCAGCAAAGTGGGCAGCGCTAGCTGCCGCGTCCGCCGTAGCCGCCGCTGCTGCCACAGCGCAATCCTCGCTGACGCCAAATCAGCTGCTGGACCTTTCCTAAGTAAATGATTGTACTTGGTGTAGGTGCCCAACCAAACCTGCGTTCGATTGGCGTGGTGTCATAAGTTGGTCTTTCCTCAGTCAAAGGAGAATTTTGGCATTCCCAAGCAAAGTGTTCCCAATGGCCTGGCCCCCCACAAAAGGGGCAAGGCAATCCCATCCAAGCTGGAGAAACAGTGGCACCTGTAAGAACAGTTCTAATAGCTGGGGTGTTGTCGGCAAGAGCTCTAAGTCCTTCCCAATCAACATTCAGGAGTTGGGCTGAAGTCACATGTTGGACCACAGCAACTTCGTGTCTCTTACTATGAAGAAATTTGTCAAAACATGACAGCCGCCAACCAGACCTAACAGTGTGCAAAACTTCGTTGACATCTCCATTAGGGTCATTCAAATTGACAACAAGACTTTCATGTTTCCAAGTCCAATGTGCAGTCTCTGTCCAATGGTGATCGGACATCAATTTTCTCAGAGTGGCAACAGGAGCGCCAGCATCTTTGTGCCAACGCAACGGTCCGTCTTTTAATAGCTGCATGACGACTCGCACAAGGTTGCGTCCTGCTATGCAGTCCAAGTGGTTCTTGGCCCCATAGGGGAGACATCGCAGCCATTTGTGAGCCTGGCGGTTGACGCCTTGCCCAGCTTTCACTGTTGCCCATAACTTCATAGTCAGGGTTTGAGTGGGGTGTCGAGCCAACCATCCATAGCAGCAACAGCTCAAGGCAAACAGCCGGGCATAGGAAGCATACTTGGAGGCATTGACATGCAAGAGACGAAGAAGGGCCAGGCGTCGGTTTGCAAGCGCCAGGCGGTCTTCCTCTTTGGGTGCATTTCCACGTTGGAGTGATCTGGTGACGATACCCAAGAAAGTAACGTCAGGTTTGATCATAGGTTCTTCCCCAATTGCTTGAAGTGCCCGCATCGCCGGCCGCCCACGGGCCGTGGCTTGAGCCTTGTCAGACTCGATAAGGCCCGCCCTGCAGGCTCCATGTTCTCCAGTGGTCAATTCGCTCAATCAGTTGAGTGGCAGAGGCAGCAGTGAAGGAGCGGTCATCAATGTAGATTGAGGTTTCACCATCGAAGTTCGGGTGCAAAGCTTCAATGTGGCGTTGCGCACAGGAGTTTCAGAAGTGTATGCATTGTAGGTGCACCAACGAGCATGATTGGTCCACATCTGTTCACACAAGGTGGTAAGTCCGTTGTGAAATCCAAGCTGCCGAAGCAAGGCAGCTGTGCTGTTCACTCTAAGGCTATCGAAAAAATTGGTATAGTCAAGCGAAGCCATGTAGTGCTTCCGCACGCAGGATTCCAAGATTTTGGCTGCACTTTTCTCCGCACTGGCCCCCTTGCCGTAGGTGACCGCGGGGTGCAGCGTAGATTGGATCCAGCTCTCCATAGGCCCAGTTTGAGCCAAGCCGAAAGCCAAGTGCGCCAGAAACAACTCAACACCGTAATAGGTCTTGTGTCTCCAGCTTTCACCATTCCATTCTGCTGTTTGCCAGCTTTTGCTACGAAAACAATTCTTGCCCCAAGAAGGGCTTGAGGCAGTTGTCCAGAGCGAAGCCATCTCTGGGATAGCGAGTGAAAAACCGTCCAAGCCTCGACAGGCAGGCTCGCAACTTCACTTCCTGTCCATCCATCAGCACCTGGTGCTCCTTTGGCAAAACTGGCTTGCCTCATGAGCTGCATGGGCGTGGGAGCAACCCACGGCACAGGAGGAGGAGAAACGGCAGTTTGAAGGAGATGGTCGGTGATCTGATCGTTTGGAGGCGAACGAGCTTGAACATCATTCCAGAAGTCAATCCAGAAATGCTTGATCTCTTCGACAGCAGCTTGTTTCGCCAGGGGTTCGCCGTCAGGTCCCCTGACATGAGTGAGTCCAGGATTGTCCCGGGAACGCAGCCATCGGCTAACAAATTTGAGGTCAGTTCTGACTTTGGTTTTCCAGTCATTGAAACGTTTTTCTCTAGTATTTTTTTCAACCTCCCGCAGTTCAACGATTTTGTTCCTGAGGGTGTTGTGGACGTTTCTCAAGTTAACATCAGCATCTTGCAGTCGAAGTTTGTGACGCAGTGATTCGATGGTTTGCTCAAGCTGGATTATCACAGCTGCAGTGTTGTCAGCATGGTGCCGTCTTTTGGGGCATCTTTGCAGTTCATACAGCCGAGCAACCTTTTTTCTGAGCCTGGTGAGAGCGAAGTCACCTGACATGATCGGATGGCATCTTCATTCCTGTCGTTTTTTAACCTGAGGAGCAAGGTCGATGCCCTTGAGACCTTTCTGCTTCAGGCGAAGTCGACAGCATTTTCGGGTTTCTTCATCCAAAGTAGTAGCCGCAAGTCTGGCGAAGGCACTTCTGAAGAGAGAATTCAACATCTGCATAAATTGCACCCATTCAGCATCAACGTCGATGTCAGGCGCCAGGTTCTGGAGGAATCTTTCACAGTCCTGCTGGACTGTAGCCCAGCTGTCAGAAACGCAAGCCGCCCAATCATCACGGTTGACATTGGAAGGTTTTTTCCAAGTGGGGCCGAAAGCAAGATATTGCAAACTGAGGTCTTGATCCCAAATAGGAATTGTGAAGGTGATCGGAAAATGATCCGCAAAATGGTGCATCTCCTTAGTAGGACATGGGACATCATGGACGTTCGTGACGCCCCAGTCCAATTCACGGTTCCCTTCCCAGCGGGTGGAAGATCCAATACCTCGGTAGGTGCCTCCAAGAGGTTGAAGGCTTTCGAGAATGATACTTTCGGAGGGAGTTTCGTTGGCATCACCAGCAAACAACCATTTGACATTTTGGGGTTCTCCCATTTCAACAAAAAAATTCTTGCATCAGGCGCCCCACATCCGCTTGCGGGGAGCCAGCTTCTTGGTCATCCCCATAAAAACTGGCAAGAAGCCAATCTTCGACTTTGACTGCCAAAACCTGAGAGGATTCGGACGTTTTGGAGTAGGTACTACAAGTTTGAAGAAGCAGGGACCTGGAACGTTCCGAGAAACTTCACCTTGGTTTAGTTTGGCACGGCCAGAGATGCGCCAAGATGGTGTCCTCTGACGCACTCACCACGTCAGCGACCACATCCACCTGACTTCCCTCAGTAGTTGCAGGATCGAAGAACCAATTGATCGGGGTACCGGCATCACCCCGCAGCGAAGCCATTTGCAAAACAAGACAGGGGTTCACAAAATCACCCAAAGTCGGCCCGTGCCGCTCTCCCCGCTGGTAGGGCGTTTGGGCATGAGACTATCTGTCAAATCTATGTCATTCATGTAATTGATCTAGTCTAACATCTGTGTCTACTGAATCGAATCAACCGACATCCACTCATGTCAACTCTACTGGAAAACGATCAAACAGGATCAGCCCAATAAAGTGTACCCACAGCAAGTATAGGTCGGTAAGAAAAGATCATTCACAATGTTAAATGAGTTCAGCCAAAAATGTGGGGTACCTCATCTTGTGATATTCTTTCAAAGGATTGTGAAAATGATGCCCCATATTTTTTTTCGTGGGGAGTGTGTGTGTGTGCCCTATGTTCAGCCAAACCATGCCAAAGCCCAACTCTGGTTTACTGTTGGGTATTCATTTTAGTCCAGTCAACTGGTCAAGTACCCATATATGATATGTATAAATATGTATATTTATATATATATATATATATTATATAGATATATATATATATATGTTATATATATATATGTTACATATATATATATTATAACCTATTATATATATATTATACATATCATATATTATATATATACATATGTATATATAGCCTCGTCCAGGCTTCTGGAACTGCGTAAACCTGAATTAGGTTGGTAAAACTTGTCCATTCCGTGACGAAATTTCGTCGCGGAATTAACAAGTTTCATTTGGGTCATGTTCATCATCATCATCCTCATCATCATCATCATCAGCATCATCATCATCATCATCATCAGTATCATCATCACCAGAAACATGTGAGACCAGTTTTTCCCACCCCGCGTGTGCGTAGCATCAACTGCTGCCGCAAGTTCACATGAACGTTAACATCCCACCCCACCCCACCCCCCAATCGTATTCAGGTTTACGCAGTTCCAGAAGCCTGGACAAGCCTATATATACATCCACATATGTTCGTGTCCACAATAGTCTCCGTTGTTGTGTTGTTAGTGCCGCCCTGAAACGGAAGGCCATGGCAAGGCCCCCCTCTGAGTCTCCAGCTGGTGCCAAACACAGAGCTGCCAAAACAAGGAGAGCAATGCCACTACGTCCTTGGATGCAGGCAGAGATACCTATGGCCCACGGCAATCCCGCAGCAAAAAATGATGAATCCCCAGTGGATAAAAACCATGGGAATAATAGTGAAAAGATATATAATGTGTTCTCCGTGAGTAATGAATCCGTCAATATATGGGATAATTCGGACAAGTTTAATCACTGGTGGAGAGAAAAAACTCTTCACCCACCAGTTCTCTGCTGAGTTCTGAGAGCCTTGCGGGCCATCTTGGCTTTGGATCGGGGCGGTTTTTGATTCGGATGGGCTTGAGCTCAAAAAAACCAGCTGCGCAAACCTGTTCAGCTCAGGAACCCAGAAAATATTGGCGGCATGCATAAGTTGCCAAGTTTTGTACTAAACCGATCCCATTTTGGGGGAATATTTTTTGAGCCAATCCCAGCTTAAGAAATGAGGGATATTCCGGAAATCGGGAAGAGTTTCACACCTTGCCTGTCGCACCACCACTGGTGAAGGCGGCATGTCAAAGTCCAGGCCTAAAGAAGGGACGCCCTCCTGTCAGCGGTTGACTCAGTGCCCCCAAAATGGTCCGCAGAACCCACAACAATCCAAAAGGAGCATCACAAAATGATGTGTCAGGCTGCATCATGCTAATGTACATAATCTACATCTGGTCAGTGCTGGGCTCCAAAGTAGGAGCTCGTCAAGTGGGATCATGATTCCTGAAAATGAAGCACCGACCAAATATGATCTGTATAGTTGGGAGTACAGTCACTAGACTTCTGCTCGATTGATACTGCTCTGCAACACCGTCCAAAAAAAACTCTGCAGATTGGCTGAAAAGATAAACCCCATGTTGCATTCTGAGCCCACAACTCTCGTTAAACCAGTAAATGCTCTCGTACAAGTCGTACAACCACACATTTTGGGCGGACCAGACGTCTCAGTCCGGTCACCTCCACCACAAAGTTCTGGATTGCTTCACCAAGCGCCTGAAAAGTCACCGGACTTTACTGTCACCGAGCGTTTCATGGTCCATCGTTGGTCCGGACGTTTTCTTGGGGCACCAAGCCTCCATTCCAGTCTTCGGCGAGGTCTGACCTTGGTACCAGGACCTCATGGTACACTGGTTGTTACCACATCAACATGGCAATAGAAAAAGGCAAAATAAGGCCGTTTATGGGAGAGTCATCTACTATATCTAATCAAATATAATTAAATGATCCTAAAATATCTTACATAAATGGATATAAATGGATATAAATGGAAATGGGGGACGTCCCAGCCTTCCGAAACTCAGGGTGGGACTCGTGACCGGTGGCGGAGTCTGATCTGCAACCGGCCTCGGGTCGAAGACTGAAGGGGTCCTGAAAAAATGGAGCATGGGCCCCTCTATATGGCATTTCCTTAGGGAAAATAATGCTTTAACAATGCTTTAACCGACTTTAACCTTCAAATTGGGTTGGAATAGGTTGTCTAGGGAAAATCATGATCAACTTGTGTATGGAATGGGGTACTATACTTTCAGACAAAGCCAGATGAAGGGGTCCAAAAGTACCAGCTAGTTGGTAGTGGCATGGTTCTACCAGGAGTCCTCATACTAAGTGCTGCTCTATGACTCTATGACTTATTGTCATCCCGATGGACGAATGGTTGACAATTCCCGACTGTGACATGTTCGAAACTTCACTTAGACCTGGACCTTGCACTGGCCTCCCAGCCGGCTGTCAATGGAGAAACCGTGATCATAAGGTTATGCCGCTATGCCGTTGTTTCCCGGCGCAATTAAGCATAGCAGCATAGCAACAAGTGCATCTTCATGGCCGAAAAAGCTCCTGCTCATGTATTAGCTAATTACCATGATGATATTGTCTGATGTTTGAGGTCTCCCACACAGCAATGCTTTGCGGCTTGTCCAAGCGGCGTGTCCTATGACCATTTCACCAGCCCACCTCCACTTGAGCTTTCTGCATGGCACGAGCACGCCACTGTCTCCTCACTCTTTGCCCACCTGAGCGCTAAATTTGTATCACTTCCCAATGGCATGCTGCAGCATGCTGCACACTGCTGCTCACTGCTGCGAACTTGAGAGGGCGCACGGGCAATAGCTTGCAGGGCAGTGACCGCGTTCTCTTGCTTCACCACTTCTTTCACAATCTTCTCTTTTTCCTGCGCAGCACTGTACGGTCAATACGGTCAATACGGTGTCAATACAGTGTCAATACGGTGTCAATACGTGGCTAACGAGTTCTGATTGGTCATACTGAGGGGTACTTGCCTCACTCTGCGGAATCTGAAGACGCAAACCTCAGCATTTGGCCAAGCACATTTTTGATCTTTACATATTTTGACTATGGGAGAAGCTCCGGGCTGAACCATTGGGGAGAACCTGCCTGGCCAACTGGACTCTTTCGCTGAGAAGCGTGCGCACAGGCCGCGCTTTCAGTATCTCCCTGCACATTGAACAGGTGAGCATGACAAATCAAGATGATTCGATGTAAAAGGAGAGAAAACCAATCAAATGATGCACACAGTTTCTTCCAGCTTCTTTGTCACAGGCCTGAAACGTTCTGGGTTCAACTCTTTCATCTCTATGCCATTCAATGCCACCAGCAAGTATCCCGTTTGGATCTTGTTCCTGCCAGAAACACATATGAAAGCACATCACCCCCCTCCACAAGTGCCAGCATCGCCTCTTTTCATGTGTTTCATCATGATCACATCTCAACATGTTTCAACACCTCTCCTCTCTGCAAAGGTCCCAGGGCTCACCTTGCCAACCTCATGCAGCAACAGAATCTCTGAATCTCTGCCCATCCCTAACATCTCACCCCACTTAGGCTGAAACAGCCACTGAATCCGGTGGAACACCCGCAAAGCCACAGCCTTGCAAAACAGATCAAAACAGCATCTAAGCTCAGGAAACGAATGAACGTGAAGGGACTGAAGACCCAAAGATCGCTTTTTCGGACATTTCATGCGTTCATGTTTCTTCCAGGGCTGAAAGCTGTGAATTCTGTGAGACTGAGCACGGGGCCAAGCTTTGTGTTCGCATCATCAAGAGTCAAGTCCAACCTCAAATGTCAAAGCTTTCTTGGTCAGTGAGTCAAGCGCACTTAGGTCTGGCGAGCACAATCTAGATACCCTTTTTGGCTGGGGTGGCGGCACGTTGGATTCCACTTGAGCTTTCTGCATGGCACGAGCACGCCACTGTCTCCTCACTCTTTGCCCACCTGAGCGCTAAATTTGTATCACTTCCCAATGGCATGCTGCAGCATGCTGCTCACTGCTGCGAACTTGAGAGGGCGCACGGGCAATAGCTTGCAGGGCAGTGACCGCGTTCTCTTGCTTCACCACTTCTTTCACAATCTTCTCTTTTTCCTGCGCAGCACTGTACGGTCAATACGGTCAATACGGTGTCAATACAGTGTCAATACGGTGTCAATACGTGGCTAACGAGTTCTGATTGGTCATACTGAGGGGTACTTGCCTCACTCTGCGGAATCTGAAGACGCAAACCTCAGCATTTGGCCAAGCACATTTTTGATCTTTACATATTTTGACTATGGGAGAAGCTCCGGGCTGAACCATTGGGGAGAACCTGCCTGGCCAACTGGACTCTTTCGCTGAGAAGCGTGCGCACAGGCCGCGCTTTCAGTATCTCCCTGCACATTGAACAGGTGAGCATGACAAATCAAGATGATTCGATGTAAAAGGAGAGAAAACCAATCAAATGATGCACACAGTTTCTTCCAGCTTCTTTGTCACAGGCCTGAAACGTTCTGGGTTCAACTCTTTCATCTCTATGCCATTCAATGCCACCAGCAAGTATCCCGTTTGGATCTTGTTCCTGCCAGAAACACATATGAAAGCACATCACCCCCCTCCACAAGTGCCAGCATCGCCTCTTTTCATGTGTTTCATCATGATCACATCTCAACATATTTCAACACCTCTCCTCTCTGCAAAGGTCCCAGGGCTCACCTTGCCAACCTCATGCAGAAGCTTTCAAGCGATACCCAGATACCCCGATAAAGTATGTTCTTAGTCTGCAGGAAATCAAGGTGGCTACAGGAGTTCAAAAAGTGAGAAAATAAGTCTAGAAAAACTCTAGTTCTGTTTAAGGTTGGCAGTCTCTATCTTTGCCACTCGGGACCTTTTCACATGGCCAAGCAGCAGCAACAGCATCTGGGGGGAGGCCGCCAAAGCCGCAGCCTTGGGGCTACATTTCTTCAAACATGATTTACACTTCCTATAATAAATGAGTGTTAATGGAATTGTTATCTATGGGGGAGCGGAGGGTAACTAACAAAGTTAGGGGGGTATTAAGCCAACCATTTCATGGCAAACTTTTATAGGACTTAATGGATGTTCGTGCGAAGAAAACCAACAGTATGAGGGTTTGTTTCAAATTTTGGGATGGGGCGCCAATGTGTTGCCGTATATGATGATCAACCTCTAAATATTGGGTATCCCTCATCTTCACTGATTTGAGACATCGGTCAAAAATTGGGTACCTCTGTGGAAGCACAAATGGCTGGTAATTGTCCATGAAACCATTCAGCTTTAGGGGGCCGCGGGAAATAGTTTTGACGCATACCCAAATGATGATTAGTTCATGCAAACAGTAAACCGTCGGTTTAAGTTCAAATGATGTACATCTCCCAGTTGTTGATTGTTTGCCACCAATCTGCAAAAATGATTCTAAAAAAATGCCAGAATGGGGCTTCAGACCAAGCTTTGTGGCTGCATCTTCAAGTCGAACTTCAAACCTCGGAGCATCTTCAGGGTCGTTCCAAGGACCAACAATACACTCAAGTCCCACGGCACCTAAGAAACTGGAGGCTCCAGGCACAACAGCGCCAGCCGGAGCCTGAAAATAGCCAAGGATTTCAAAGGATTCCAATGGATTTCAAGATGGAGATGGGTCCAAAAAACACGTGGGCCTTTCAAGACTGGGAAGCTTTGTAGATTTTTAAAGAAAATCATCTCATCTGTGGTTCGCTTGGTCCAATGTTGTTGGTCGCCTTGGAAGATTCAACCAGCGGCTGGTCCTGCAGCGAAATTTCAGTTGGACGTCGGAAAGCGGGAAAAAAAACAAAAATCCCCGGTGTCCATGATATATCTTGGGTGAGGTTATCTATTCCAAAAAACAGAACATAGCAGTTGGTACTTGGGACCATTTTCATTCATTGAATGACCATCTTTCGATCGAACTTCGGCGCGCTCAGCCGATTGGCGCTCACCAGCCGGCCTTCTTTGGGACTTGGAAAAGCAACCCTTAGAAAACGGGCCGTGGAGGGTTGCTACTTGCGAGGATACAACCAACAAAGTTAGATTTAATATTGGGGTGCATATAACCAACCATTTTATTGACAAATGTCATGAGATATGTAAGCAACAACACAATGATATGGGTTTGTCCAAAAATAGTAGGTGTCCGAATGTCGAAATTCTGGCCATGTTATCAGGTTACAGTAAAATGATTACTAACCAATTTCGATTTGGGCATTAGAACTGGTCATTCTGTCGGTCAAACTCCCTAAGTGACCAGCACTGGCAGTAATAATCTATACAGTAACCCTATGGACATATCATAAACGGGTAGTTACGCCCACTCATGATACATAGGAAAAATTGCAAGAAGATGAAAAATCATGATTCATCATGATACCAACTATCAAACAAACCAGCAAATTTGGTACAAGTATCAAAATGAAGGATACATGCATCCATTTATATATATATATATACGCTATATATATCTATATACATATATATACATATATATATATACATATATATACGTCACACTACATAATATATATATATATATTTACACACACTACATACATACATATATGAATATATACATACATACATACATACATACATACATGCATGCATGCATGCATACATACATACATACATACATATTATATATTATATATATATACATACGTACATACGTACGTACATACATACGTACATACATTACATACATTACATACATTACATACATTACATACATCACATACATTACATACATCACATACATCACATACATCACATACATCACATACATCACATACATCACATACATCACATACATTACATACATTACATACATTACATGCATTACATACATTACATTACATACATACATTGCATACATTGCATGCATTACATACATTACATACATTACATACATTACATACATTACATACATTACATTACATTACATTACATTACATGACACTACATTACATTGCATTACTTTACATTTACATTACATTACATACATTACATACATTACACTACGTTACACTACATTACATTACATTACATACATACATTACATGCATACGTTACTTACATACATTACTTACAAGCATTAATTACATACATTACTTACATACATTACTTACATACATTACATACATACATTACTGACAAACATTACATACATTACATACATTACATTCACTACATACATTCCATACATTACATACATAACATACATTACATACATACATACATTACATACATTACATACATTACATACATTGCATACATTGCATACATTACATGCATTACATACATGCCATACATACATACATTCATACATTCATACATTCATGCATTCATACATTCATACATACATACAGATACATACAGATACATACAGATACATACAGACACATACAGATACATACAGATACATACAGATACATACAGATACATACATACAGATACATACATACAGATACATACATACAGATACATACATACAGATACAAACATACAGGTACATACATACAGGTACATACATACAGGTACATACATACAGATACATACAGATACATACAGATACATACGGATACATACAGATACATACACATACATACACATACATACAGATACATACAGATACATACAGATACATACAGATACATACAGATACATACAGATACATACAGATACATACAGATACATACAGATACATACAGATACATACAGATACATACAGATACATACAGATACATACAGATGCATACAGATGCATACAGATGCATACAGATACATACAGATACATACAGATACATACAGATACATACAGATACATACAGATACATACAGATACATACAGATACATACAGATACATACAGATACATACAGATACATACAGATACATACAGATACATACAGATACATACAGATGCATACAGATACATACAGATACATACATACCTACGTACGTACGTACGTACATACATACACATATACATACATGCATACATACATACATACATACATACATTACATACATTACATACCTAACATTACATAACATAGCATAGCTTAACATAACATTACATTACATTTCATAACATTACATTACATAGCATTACATTCAATGACATCACATACACACATACATACATAAATATATATATACATACTACATATCTAAATAATTCTAAATATATATATATATTATATGCTAACCCCCCCCAGGACCTACCTTTTTTAGGCTTATATGTGTCAGATAATGCCCGGAACGGTTGCAGCCATGGAAAGCGCACAGGCAGCCAGACATAATTTGGGTTTAGTTAAGGAAGTGTACCAGGCGATGACCAGACAGTTTGTGATCCTGGGAAGCGCATGCGCCACCAGATAGAACCTGCCCCTATTTGAGAGGATGTGTCAGGATGATGAGAAGAGAGTATGCGGCGCACAGGCAGCCAGACATAATTTGGGTTTAGTTAAGGAAGTGTACCAGGCGATGACCAGACAGTTTGTGATCCTGGGGAGCGCATGCGCCACCAGATAGAACCTGCCCCTATTTGAGAGGATGTGTCAGGATGATGAGAAGAGAGTATACGAACATAGGAAGCACATCTGCAGCCGGACACATTTTTTTCCACCGCAGACGCACAGGATCAAGCAGGAAGGCGCTGGTCGAATGACCACTTGCACAGGTTGCCAGTTGCAAGCACAAGTCTTGGTTTTTCAACCAGTACTGGTACTGGGCCGACCTCAACTTGCAGCGCTACATGTGCGAACCCACCTTGGCATTCTGATTCAATGTGACGCGGTCCTTTAAAAAGCGCCAACAACGATCAATAATTTGCATTCCCGATTTAACACGCAAGGTTTTCTTGCTGTTGGGCACTTTGTGCGTCACTATTTTGGTATATCGGGGAACCAAACATTTCCATACCCCGCGGACTTTGACGCGTTTCTTGCAGTGGACAACTCTATCATGGAGGACACCAGGAAGTCGCAGACGATAGCTCTTGGCAGAGTCCGTGTGCAAGATCACTTTCCTGTCTTGAAGCCAGCGCTGGGCAAATGGGCGCCACTCCACTTTGCGAACTGCTCCAGGCCCAGGAGCACGCACGTGCGAGGTGGCTTGAGACGATGAAGTACCAGTGTCTCTGGCTTCCCCTTTTGGACAACACCTAACCATTGTTCCCATTCAATCGGTTTGGCGGCGTCATCCAATGTCACCAGAGCACTGACATCTTTCTTGTCGAAAGTTGTTTCGTCTGCTTCAATGTCTTTCAAGGAAGCTCCGTCACCAAATTGAATTTCCTTCTCCTTCTGCTCTACATAGTCCTTCCAGAGCACACACAGGCGTTTGTCGATGTCCTCTATAGCCTTGTGGTTGACATGGAGGAGCCTATGGATGGTGGAATTTGCTAAATTGTTCAACTTCAGCAGAAGCATTGCGGCCTCGGTCTTCAAAGACAAAGCAGCCACGCCATATCCCTCTGAGAAAACTGGGTGCAAGTGATGAGGGTTGAGATAGACTTGGCAGTGCTTGGCATTGCAGCGCACCTTTGGACAAGCATCGCCGGCCTTGCACACCCAGCCCCCAGCCCTGAAGCTTGCCCCTTTCACACCTCGGACAAGTTTTTCCACGCCACTCAGGCAATAACCCATCCTCGGGAGGAGTTTGACGATGCCTCTGTCGGTAGCACTGAGGATGTCGGTCAAGGATCTCTTCCACTTGGTTTGCTCCATGCGGAGCCCTCGAGGGCCAACGCCCGGATTGTCTCGAGTGTACGGGACATTCTTCCAAGCCTTTGTCTTCAAGGATGCCGGCCTCTTCAGGACAGAGCGCCCTTCCCCCCTCTTAGGGTCGGGGAAAGGGTTGAAGAATTTGGACGGCATAGCACAGGATGCGCAAACGAAACCTTCAGCAAGAGCTTTGATCCCAAAACTGCAGGCACAGGCGGAACGACGCAATGCAACATGAACCATGCAAGAAGGACCAGAGCTAGAGGTATGAGAACACACATGTTGCATTTTGGATGGCTTGAGTGCAGGACTTGGGCCAGCAGACGTAGCAGCTTTTCTTTTTGGAGCCACACGCAGTCAATGCCTGAGGCAAATCCTTGCATAATCTGGGCCCAAGCCCTATATGTACAATGCACATGTATTGGCAGGATGCTACTCACTCATTGAGGCCCATGTGGCCTGCTGCGTCCTCATCAGCTTCAGGATGCTGCGTCTGCCTTCTCTGCATCTTCAGCTAGCATCTCCAACTCCTGAGGCAGCTTTGGTGGAGTAGTTTTGGAACGAAGACGCCGCTGTGGGTCTGGGTAGACGAAGTTTTTGCGACGACGGCCTGAAGGCTGTGTTCCAACAAGTGGCACCGGCACAGGTACTGGAGGATGTGCATCTTCGTCGGAAGAACAGGGTGAAGCTGGCGCGGCCCTGACACCTTGACGGAACAAAAGCTTGTCTTGGAGCTTGTTATTGACAAGAGTCACATACTCCTTGGTGCTCTCACAATCCATCATGCGGGCAACGCCTTGCTCTATCATAGACTGCTCTTTCTCCAAATCAGCATCGAAGGCACCGGTCTCATAGATGCCCCCCTTGTATTTTCCATACAAAGGCTTGTCTCGATCAGCCAAGAGATCTTGATGGAGAGCATCGAAGTCGATACGATGAACGACACTGTCCCTGTGCTCACTTGGAAGACGAAGGTATAAGTATAAGGCCTTGGCGCCGAAGAGAAACACAATGGAACGCTTCAAGACTGCCAAGACATCTTTCTCTTTATCTCCTTGAAAGATGTCACTAAGCAATCTGAAGAAGTCTTCTTCAGTAATGCTGGAGGCTCCGGGCTTGCACTCGAATCTCTCCTCGGGCAGATCATTAGAGGCAAAAGCCATCACCTGATTCCGCACCAGCCGAGTGTCATTGTACCTGGAATCGACGGTGCGATCCTTGTCTGAGGTGAGAAAGCTTTTCAGATCTGCAACATGATGATCACGAAGGGCGTTTTACCGACCCCGGGAGAACCAAGCAACATCACTCCGAAGTTGAGCAGCAGAGGATACAGATTGGGCAACAAGAACTCAAAGAGGAACGGTTTGAGACTGAACGTGGTGAGAGGGAACTGGGTCATGCTGATTGCCCCCGCCAACCCTTTGCTTTTGTTCTGGGCCGTGTGGCGTACCTTTGATTCTGGCCACCCAGCAATGGGGGTGCCAGACTCGGCCTTGATGTTCACAAGGATCCACAAAGTTTGTTCGTTTCGGGCGTCGCATTCTGGGGCGTAAGCATTGATGAAGCCAACCCCTTCGGCACCATTTGGACGAACTGCTGGAAGTCGTAGCCTCTTTTTTTCTTGAAGAACATGCCATCGAACCTGGTACCCCCCCAACTTCGATAAAAGGAATTGGACAGCCTTCTTGATGTTCCAAGGGCCTGGCCGGAAAACCGGAACGAAGGCCTCCCCGCTGCAAAGAGAATTTGCGACTTGAAAGCTGACTGGTCGCGGCAGGTAAAGGACCTTCAAGATGCTCACTTGATTTCGCCCAAGACTGATGCGAAGGAAGTCAACTTTGGAAGTTCGGGGAACTGAAGCCTGAAAGGCAAGAGGCTGAGGCAGATCCTCATAGCGCCCACTTGCCACAAGCTGACCTAGCTCAGCAGCATCTCCGCACGATGGAATTCCTAAATGAAGGTCGAACAGCACCTGGATTGACTTGACATGTTTGGACAAAGGCCTGCATGCTTCAGAAGCAAAAGTTCCAAAGGGGATAGGGTCAGCACAATCACTCTGCCCACACGCAGCAGTGTCCAAGATGCTAAGGTGCCATTGCTTGGCGCCAACTTTGGCAATGGCTTGGTCCATCAGAGCGCCAGACATGATGACAGACGAGGAAAGCACCGGATGCTACAGAATGAAGAGCCCACCTGTTCGAGCCATGGCAAAGCAACATGAAAGCCTGGTAATGGAGCAGCGCCGACGTTCAGTGTTGAATGTGTGACATGAAGGATTGGCATTACAGAATGCATATGGGTATGTCGCAAAGTAGGACTACCCCCGCCCCCCACCATGATCATGTTCAGCAGAGAAACATTTACGGGGTATCACCATTGTGTAAAAACACATCCAGAAGAGTAACCTGGGAAAGCTTACTTACTTAGAGTCTTACAGAAACACTAGGCTGCCAGTTCCACGTTGTACACAGCACTCTGCTTGCAGCGTGGCTTTTTTTCCGCCAAGCCTTTTCACAAAACTCAGCATCCCCGCGCGAACGCTCAGAGCGCAGCTTCGAGTACAGCTCCAGGTTCTCCTTCTTCAGCGCCATGTTCTGTGCATTGAGCTGGCAATTGTCTGCTTCAATGCACTGGTGACAGGACACAGCGTCGAGAAGTTCAGCGACCATGCCCCGCAGGTACGACTTGTGAGTGCTAGAAGACGAAGTGGAGGAGGAGGAGGAGGAGGACTCCTCGGAGGAGTCTGCGGACGAGCCCTTGGACGAAGAGGCGGAGCGGCGAGACTTCGTTGAGGAGGCTTTGGACGACTTGACCTTGCGAGACTTCGTTGAGGAGGCCGGTGACGGTGAAGCTGGTCCATCGGATGATGCTGCCTTGGCCCCATGGGCTTCCTCGTCACTTGGACTTTGCAGGCTTGCCGGGCTTTGCTCGTGGACTGGAGTCTGCGTCTTGCAAAGCCAGGAGCGGCTTCTGATCATCCAGGCAGAGCCTTTTCTTGGGAGGGCCTTCGTCTTCTTCATGTGCGGCTCCGCGCATTGGCTTGCGAAGATGGAGCTTGAGGCGTTCCGTGGCCTCTGGCGACCAACCTCCACGACGAAGGCCTGATGGAAAGGACATCTGCTTTTGTACCAGAAGAATGGCTTGCGTCAACACCTCTCGCGTAATTGGCTTTCTGATGGGTGTATGTCCCATGTCGTCACCATGTCAGGATTCGGTGCTGGCGGTGTCGCGCGTGGAGGAGGAGGAGGCCCGATCAATGGCGCTAAGGAGATGGTGGCGCCACCCTGGTCCAGCTTGACACACCCGTGCACTTGAAGCTCCATGCTCGGACAAGATGCTTCTAATCTTTTTGTGAAAAGGCTGCAGGACATTGATTTTCAGGCATCAACAGTGCAAGCAGAAGTTCTCAAAGGGTTCCCGGCTCACCTCAACTAAAGTACCAAGTTTATGGCTTCAGCAAAATTTGCAAACGTTTGCATTTTTTTGGGATTCAAGATTCAAGATTCAAGATTTTGAGGAAAAGTTCTTGAATCCAAGCCCTTAGATCTTGGGGTTCTGGATGCCAGTCAGGGCTTGGATTCAAGAACTTTTCCTCAGAATCTTGAATCTTGAATCCAGGAAAAATTGCAAACGTTTGCAATTTTTGGGGATTCAGGGTTCAAGATTCAAGATAATTTCTGGGGGTTCAATGTGTGTGTGTGTGCATGTGAGTGTTTACATGGCTATTGGAATTCTATTATATTTATATATTTACATATATATATATATATATGGCACCCCCCACAAGTCAACCAAAACATGACCCAAAACTGCAACCAAAAATATAAGCTCAAAAGGTGCATAATTTACTGCAAATACCAGTAAAAACCACAAAAAGGTAGGTCTTGGGGGGTACCATATAGATATTATATATATATGCGTGTGTATATATATATATATATGGTTATATACATATTATATGTATATATATGCATATATATATATACAGACATATATTATGTATACTGTATACATGTATATGTATAATACAAATATAATGTATAGCTTTGTATACATCCATCTATGACAATTTGAAACCAAATAGTGAGATGATGAAAAAGGGATCTGTCAAATGTTGGTCATAAAATCTTCAATAGACCCATTGAAATTCTTGTTCCCATGTGTTCCCCTGAATTTTCAGACAAGTCATGGTAAATCATTCCAGCTCCAGAGGTTCGGACTCACTGGTCGTGCCTTCAAACTCTCCCTGGCCAGGCATGAAAATCTGGTCGCAAAGAAAATGGGTCAAGTACCTGAAAATTCTTCATGAAAACGAATGCAAAACCTCTAGATCCATGGTTTAGAAGCTCATGTTCCCGACTTCATGGCCACAATGGCCATGAAATTGGGGTATAGCTCGCCCATTTTCAAACATGGCAAACCAAGGACACAAATCAAACGGAACGGTTGTTCTGTTGTTCATTGGGGATCAAACCATCAAGAGTCAACGATACAACATGATATAGCCAGAAGATATATAGGGTGTAAACACCAGAAATAGCGGGTATGGATGAATTTCCGGAGTTCTTGGAGAAACTGAGAGACCCGAGATTGGAGCAAAAACGATGCCTCAAGAATGGGTAGAAGAAAGTAGATAAAGTAGGGATATGAATGATATGAACAAGAATTGGGACGGAAGCTTATTGGACAGGCATCGAAGTGGTGTGTACCCCTTAAAATGTGGATGGTGCTCAAAGTTCCATACATTGCCATACATTGTGATCCAAATGATTGGCACCATGGCACGGCCTAAATGTGGACTCCGTGAGGGCGCCAACGGTCTGGCCATTGACCGTCACCAGCTGGAAGCCTGTCTGAATGTTGTTCCTGCCGCTGTGGCCACGTGCCAATGAAAAGCTGTAGAGACTGCCTTCGAATTTTGATGGTCCATATAGCTCAGTGTCATTCCTGAACAGCCGTGGAGGTTTGGCTTTTTCTCATGCGTGGTATGGTCATTTTTGGTATCTGGGTATCCATTTTTTTTTGAGCAACACACAATCAACAAGGCAACATGTCCAATGACCTAAGGACGGGACAACAAACATCATGGTCGGAACCTTAAAGCACCAAATGGTTTGCAGTATCTTCATTTGCCACCATCGCCCAGCCTCTCTGCCACAGAGGCAGGCGCAATTTTGGACACCTGAGCGAGGTTAATCTCGCCCGCAGTTTGTCCCTTCTAAGTGAGCTGGTTCCCATGCGTCGGTCCATCGGTCAGTGCAGGAGGCGCCGGCACTGGTGTTCGCAGGAGGGGTGCCAGCAAAAGCACAACCTGTGAAGGTGGTGACCGACTCTCCGAAAAATCGACGGCAGGAAACTCAACCTACAGCGGGTTTGATGCCTTAAAGAAGTCCAATGATCCTTGAAATTAGTAAATACGTTTTGTGCATGGTTTGTAAGCTATTAAATTCCAACTATAAGGGGACATCAGCGACAGAAGCCATTCCTCACCATTTAAATCACTTGGCAGCCAAAAACGTCGCAAAAGAAGATGAATACCCCCAACAAATGGATGAGTCATGCTTAAAAGCGAAAAATGTCTGGTCTCTCAAAGGCGCTCAAAACAAAATGACCCACGTGTGGCCCTTGCCGAGCCTAACTTTTCGCTTGGATCTTGGACGAGCAGTTCGAAACTCAGCAAAACTTGTGGAACCAAAAAGTGACGACTCGGAGCAATCTTGGAGGATCGTCCTACCAATCTATATTGGGAGTTTTGACTCGAGCAACAGAAATTGCGTAGTAAGTGGTCAGTACTGTTTAGTCCATCCATTTGCTGTCTTCAGAGATTCCCAAGCTATGCAAAACTTCCGATTCGTGGGATGATCCTACACCTTTTGGACGCCAAACTTGCGGGGAAGACCTCAGGAAAACATTTTCCCTGCACTCAGATTTGGGAAGATTCTGCATGCACTTGCTGGGCTGTTCCCGGCGTGTCTTGCTCCAGCAAGATCTTCAAGGGCCGCTGTTTCATTGCGGCCTGCGAAGTTCCAAGTCCGATCTTAATTGAGTGTAGGACAACTTGGCAAAAAGTTGTTGTAATGGTGGCGTTGCTTCAATATGAATATGGACCACGGCTCAAAATTGTGGTGCCAGTGCCTTGAAGTCCGTGTCCGACATTCCTTGAACCGGAAGACCGTTGAGCTTCACGATCCTTCCAAGAAAACAAAGCTTTCTTCGTCAGCACTTCCTATGGTCCTTGACTTCCACGCAGAAATATGAATTCTATCCCATTTCTGCACGAAGCCAGAAATCAATAGAAATCACTCATGGAAGCCATCAAAACAAAACATCTTTGATGCATAGAATCAGACTTCCAAACTCAAGCAGCCTGCCAAAATCCACATCTGTTTGGAGATACATGTAAAATGATGCTACAAAATATTGCCGCAAAATATTTGGGGATCGGATGGAACAAAAATGTTGCGGGATGTTAATCCTCCCGTTCCAATGGTGCCCAAGTGGCAGTGGAAAGTCAGGAAAGTCAGCTGAAAACTCTCTTACAATTCTTCCTGTAGCTCTAACACATCCACACATCCCATCCCCAGAACAAACCCTGCTTCAAACCCAAAAATGTTTCACTCCAGAGTTTCTAGTCACAAGTTCATCTGCAGTAGAGTGGCCATATTTCACATGGACAGAGACATGTTCCTATTGAAAATGGAGTGGACCAACATGTCCCGCCTGGTACCTGCATTGATTCCAACACCTTCGGCCCAACCGCCTCTGCTGACATCCTGGCAATCAATGGAAGTGCCATCACCGGGCTACGGAAGTGCCATATTTTGGGTATAGAATCATCCACTTGTGCCACAAGGATCATGATCTATAAATGGAAATTCTAGGGGCAAATTCCCTTGCCAGCTCATATATCACTGACCATCCAAATTTGGGGTACCGGTCTTTCTACATCTACGTTACATTGAACTATTCCCATCTACAATAATATCTAGTTCTATTGGGATTGCATATCCCGATAAACTTGACCGTTCCCATTTACAATTCGTGCTTATTATTTATCTATTTTGGTTGGTTAAATCATCATTTCTGTTGCTTAAACGTCCGTTTATTCTGGGAATAATCCTAAATTCTGCTGCGAATCACGATGCTTCCTGGTGAAATCACCATTATTGGGTGTTTAGATCCTCCTTATGGTAAGTAACCTCTATCCATTTAACATATTAGAGATCCCAATTCAGAAGAAGTTCCTTGGGAGACCATTGATTTTCCATATCTATGTTACTTAAGCCCATGGCACATCGTTAACCCCATGGTGAACCGATGTAATCACAATTCTATCATTTATCATCATTTCAATCATTTCTATATATATATAATATATAATGTTATCATGATCATGTTAACCCCCCATATCGTTTAATAATCGTTAACCCCCTGGTAGCTTGGCATTTGCACCGTCCCGGCACCGTCCCAGCACCGTCCCGGCACCGTCCCGGCACCGTCCCGGCGTCCTTGACCATGACTTGGCCATCGGACTGCTGTGGCACCAGGCCCAGTTTGACGTCCTTTGAGATCCCAGGGCAGTGATAGGTGGTAAAACGTGGTAACCATCCCTGCGAGCTCTTCCACTATGGTGTTTTTTTGGCAAAAGTTGGGTTTTGGGAAAAATTGTGAATTTCATGGAGGCTCTGTAATAATGAATATGCCATTTGGATCCATTTGGATTGTCTTTCTATTCAAACATTACAAAATGGCTGTGTCCAAGTCCAAAAATGGGGGATTTACCCCAAAAATCTGGTTCTTTTGATGGGAAAAATTGGGTTCTGACCCATGGGTCTTGGAGGTACCTTATGATTTTAACAGGGCCAATTCTTCAATTCTGATATCTAATCATATCTAAGTATCTAAGCCTAAGCAACAAAATTTATGGGATAATTGTGGCAAACAATGATGGTATATTGAGTATATTGTGTGGCACTCAAATAGGGGCTGCTTTTTGTATTAAAAACTGTTCAACGAAGGTGTCAAAGAAACGAGCCGATGATCCAACCAACCTCAAATGACGAGACTGTGAAATAGTGGGAGCATAAGACGTGCCATGCCTCATATTCAAACAATGGGGATACACTGCAACCAACAAGATATGGTGACGTCTACGACTACGAAACATAGAAAACCATGGAGAAACAACAACAACAACAACCAACCAACCAACCAACCAACCAACCAAACAAACAAACAACAAACAACAAACAACAAACAACAAACCAACCGACCAACCAACCCACCAACCAAACAAACAAACAAACAAACAACAACACTTTTTTGACACTCATCTCATTATTTCACGGAATCTCCTCCCAAAAACCACGATGGTTTTCCCGGCTTCCCTCCCTCCTGAGGAGCAACCACCTCCCTTTGCATCGCGTCGCCACATCAGTTCCTACGTTGACCGATGGGAAGTTTCACCCATGGCCCAACCCCTGCCTGATGATGGCACGTCTCGTCATGGACTGGTAACTGGGAAGTGTTATCAACTCTTGCTACTGGTACAAGTGGTATATGCTGGATTGCTGATAATTCCTAAACAACTGGTGGAATAGTTTGTAGCTGGTACTAGTTGCTGGGCAGATGGTATTCAACTCTGGCATCTGCTACCATGTTTAACACAAGACTAGTGACCACAAGCATCAAAGACCATATTGTTAAAGGCCTAACAGATCTGTGATGAAAGGCAATGTCAGCTGAGAGCTGAAAGCTGCTCGTTTGCACATGACAGGACTGCTTTCTGAGTTGTGGTTTTGTGTTTGTTTGACGGTCTTGTACCCTTCTTACACAGCTACCTTCTGTAACAAAGGGATGCAATCCCACTCTAGCTGGTGCCTATGCCCGGTACATGTGAGGTTCTGCCATGGGTTTGGATTGGACCCCGCAACTGAGAAGTTGTGCTGATTGGCTTGGCATCATCCTCAAGCTCCATATGCTCCAGGCAAAACTTGGAAAGTGCCATTAGCATCGCCCTTTTTGGCCGATTTTGGCGCAGCAACTCCCTTCCAGGGCCTGGCAACAGGAGGGGAGCCGAGCCGCGGTAGCTTCTTTCTGTGTTATCTGACAGGATTCCCCGTTTCCTTTATACTTATCTATAATATTTTCATAATTTGTAATCATCACTTTTTCAGGGGGTCAAAAGCAAATGAAATATAAGGACTCCTGTCTCATGCGACTCATCGCAGAACTGCTCTCAGCTTTCCTCTCTTTTTCGCGCTGAAACATAGAATTGCTCAGCTTGTGAAAAAGTGGCTGAAGTCTGGGCACATCAGCGTCGTCGTGTCCAGTCTATGACTGGGCAGACCAGCCTGCTACCCTCACAGCCACCAAGCCATACTGTGTCCCATACCTAAGCCCTCTTGATGGCATCCACCTCTGCCTTCACCTGACAGCACAATTCGTGCCGATTCTTGATAGATCAATCGAGTGTGGCTGTCCCCAAGTTGGGATAATCAATGGGGAATTCTCCATTGCCCGCCTGTACTGGAGGCAATAGTGGCCCATTCTCAGTTTGAAGCTTCGATTCAACCACTGTCTTACCGGTGTAAGACTTTAAGAAGCTGGGTTTCTTTTATGCCTTGTGCCCTGGTCATTTTCGGCAGTTCTATAACCATCTCACTTTGTTGGTATTCCCCATAGTTTGCAGGTCCGATCACTCCAGGTTGCAGCAATCACATAGCCACTCTTGGCTACGCTGCAAAATATGTGTATGTATATATATACACATATATATATAGAGAGAGAGATACATATATACATAGATATATATAATTATATATACGTATATCTACATAGTGTATAACATGGTAGGTAGTGAATATCCTCATGACTCATGGCAGTATGTCGCTAGCCTTCCCCGTTTTAGCCTCGGCTCAACCAGCCCACCTCCTGTCGTCGCTTGGTCAATGGGTTGGCCAAGGCGGCCACGAATGCGGCGCCGTAGATCAGGACCAATGCAATGCCACCCACCTCGTAGGTTGAATAGGTTTAATTTGGGTAAAACAATGTCATAAACCACCCATGACTGGGAATGGTAAACATACTAAACATACCACCTATAAGAATGGTGCTGACTGGGGGATGGTTTATGATGTTTATGGCATTGTTTCACCCACATTAATCAATTGGAAGGAAAAACAGGATACCGCGGTGAAAATCCATTGATGAAGTGGATATACTGGGATTTGATGATAAAATCCATGGTTTCCCGTAGAGTTGTGTCCTTATTATATGTAGACCAACCCCGGGGGGTGGACGTTATGCAACTTCATGTTGACAATGGGCCGCAAATCAAGACATGCGTGACCCAACTCGCCAGAGAGCTTAAGTTCTTGAAGTCTGAGCTACTTCAGCCATCTGGGATCATCTCGAGATTTTTGAAACCACCAGCAGTTTTTGAAAGCCAAGAGGAGACCACCACACATTCCCATGGGTTCCTGATATTGCCTGTTTTGCCACGTTCTGTCTTGGTGCAACACGTTTCACACCTGTCAGCCCATGATGCCATGGTTCACAGTAATCCAAACGGTGCCAAGTAGCGAGCCAGCCTTAGGCGTAGCAGGAAACAATCAGATTGCGATTCGTTCAACTGCCATGAGGGATAAACATGTCTGAGTCTAAATCTGGGCGCAGGACACAGATTCTGGCCACCATCACAGGAAACTTCAAGTGAAAGCAGGAGGATCAGGCATTTTCCGAGCTACATTTTAAATCATGTTGATCTCTTCCCTGAGTTTTTGGTTGAAAATGTTCAAACATGTTCAAACCCACCTGTTACCTCCGAGTGGCTCTGCAGCATGGCCACCACGCTGTCATATGCGGAGGCTGGCTGCTCCAACGCCAAGGGGGTCAAACCGGCTGCGACGGCCGCCACACGGGCAGTGTCCACCTTTCATGATGGTGACAGCGAATCTAGGACCCAAAAAACGTGGTTTGAAGATTGTTTGAGTGTGATGTCTCAGTCAAATGAGTGCCTTCAAAAGGTCACCCCAGCCTCCACTGGTGCTGGCTGAGAGCTGTTTGGTGCCACGAAGGTCTTAGAAAGGTGCCATGATTCCCGGTGGAATACGTTGCGAATCAGCCCAATCTTGATTTGGGTGCGGAATAAAATGGGATACCTCTAGGGACCGACAAATCTATGGTCATGTGCATGACATTAAACCATCCATCAAGAGGGGGCGTGGATCATTTTGACTTGCACCTATGTTGATGTGCATCCCATTTAGCAACTGACTAGAGGTCCGGTACAAGTCCACTTAAACCTCATCTACCCTGATGTAGTCATATCTTATCGAACTACATCATGTTTTTTAGTGCGATCCTATACAGTAGCTTGGTTTGACTTACTCTGGTCTTTGCGTACTTTATCTGTATGCACCGCAAACTTTCTGGTCCCAAGCTCAGGCTCCACCTAACGTTTTGGTCTCTGAGTTTCCAGCTGGTGCGACGCAAAGAGCTGCCAGAATGAGCAAAGCAATGCCGCTACGTCCTGCTGCCGAAAGGTTGCAGCCCGATTTTCACTGGCTAAGAAGCCTCAGTTTCTCTGAGCAATATGTCTATTTGTTGCTGGTCAAATCACCGTTCTTGCTGCCTGCTTGGGGGGGTGCTGTTGGGGTTATAAGTGGATATATAACCATAGTTGTAGGGAGTGTATAGTAATATCCCAACTCCCCCGTCGCAGGATCTGGCACTTCTGAGCGCAGCACGGGCCATCGTGTTTTCAATCGCACTCACGGGGCTGGGACGGGCTTGAACAAAAATACAGTTCCAGCTGGGAAAAAAAAAACACACATGCGATAAGACCAAAGCATGGCATTCAACTGATATCCTCGAAATGATAATGCCTGCATTCATATACATTCCTCAGCCTGCAATGATGTATACATATATATATATATACAAAATGTGTGAGTGTTCTGATATATGTATGTACTCAGAATACTATGAATATTTCTGGATCAGCCCAGCCTTCATGGCAGCGGCAACCACCTGCAGCAGCTGTTGGTAAAATGACACAACAGCAGTACCGCCTGGGTCTTCGCATGGTAACTGTGGAGTCAGGACCATTTGGCCACCCCAAAACTGAGATGGCCATGGACCAAAATCATCCCAAAAAATCAAGGGTTTCCAGGTTTCCAGGAAGCAAGACTTGAACTCTGTCCACATCTCTGCCGGTTGCAGAACACCGCTGCAATGTTCTTTTCCACGCTGCACCCTCTGTTTGCGTGTGAAAAAGTGACCAGGGTCTGCGCGGATGGGCGTCGCCCTTCGGCACACTTCTGGCCTTGGACTGTCACCAGCTGCCACAGCCCAGAGAGCCCAGAGAGGCCAGAGCCTATGCTCTCTTCATGGCATCCACTTCTGCCTTTACCTGCAAACCATGAGTTGGGATCATCCAATGAAACATCAAACATGGTTTAGTGGAAAATCCCCATCTATAAATTAGACGATTTAAACAAACATTAAAAGCACCATTTGGTTCAATGACTTTCCCGGCTAGCCATGTTTGATGACGCCGGAGGGTAGTTCAATACCAATTGCGTTTGGCAGTCCATGAAACTGCAACCACCCCCTACCTCCTGTCGTCGCTTGGTCAATGGATTGGCCAAAGCAGCCACGAATGCGGCGCCGTAGATCAAGACCAATGCGATGCCACCCACCTCAGCATGTGTTTGGTTGCTTACATATTTGTTCTGTTTAAATATTTAAATAGTCTACGCGTATCTGTTTAATATAAATACAATATACATTCATTTTATTTTAATCTATACTTATACAGTACATATATATATATATACACAACACATATCTCAATATGTGTATAATAATTTTCTCTGCTGTAAGTATATATTTATGTATATACAAATATTTACATTATATATATATGTATTTTATTTACAAAATATTTTGTATATGTATTTTACCAGGTCAACCGACAATGGGGTGAAATACTAAGCTAACACCGTTAAGCACTCAGCTCTTTTGAACCAACGCTATCGGGCAGATCGATGATATATACAATACATGGTTTTACTGCAGGAGTTTTTACACCCCCCTCGGGCGAGCAGGGACGACTGCGGAGAACGAATAACCCAGAAAAGCATACCCTCGCGGGTAGCCGAATTTCTTTAGTTGGTTTTAGACATTTTGTGCAGTCTTTCAAAGGTCCCTCTAAAAAGCTCAAGCCCGTAAAACCCAGCGCAGCGTTGCAAGGAAGGCACATTACCATGCCACATCTTGCGCTATGCTACAAAAGAAAATCATCGTCTCCCTAACGGTTCCAAAAGATCCAACGGCCGCCGGCCTCGTCACGGTAATACCAAGCCCCACGCCAGAAACTCCATTCTCGGCGTGCACCATAGTGATCACGATTCCAACTCCAAGAGGCATCCGGGCGACCGGAGCTTGCAGCCTTCGAAGTGACTCCTGCGGTTGCTGCTTTTGCAGTGGGCGGTGTCTCAGGCTCCAAGAATGGTCGTGCTCCTGCTTTGGATGTTGGTGGTTCGGGTACCAGAAATGGTGCGGCTGGGGCATCAGCGTGCGAGGCATCTGCGCGAGCAGAGCTTGAGGCGGCTGTGACATCTGTTGCGGTTGCGGATGCATCAGCTTCGGCTTTGCGCTTTCGCTCAATGGTGGGCGCGACCGTGGGGTTGGCCTTATGACCTCCAGGACCTCCAGCCTTTGCAGCGGCGCTCTGCTTCTCTTTGCGTTCAAGATTGCTCCGAACCAAGGGAAGGTTTTCCTCATACACCTTTTCGAGGAAATCACGAGTGCCATCAAGAGGGACTTGGACAGTACCCTTCCAGGTCAACAGGCCACGGAATGCGCCACGACGGCCGATGTAGCTGACATATTCATCCTCTGTAAAAATGTGGCGGCCAAACATGAAACCCCAGACCTTCTTCCATGTTTTGCGGAACTCAACTGGGAAGCCATCAACGCCACGAGGCTGAGACATGAAAATCAACTTAGATAAGCAGTTCTCATTTTGGGCATTGGCGGCGACGCCAGCCGAGATCTGAGCTTTGGTCCTTGGGGGATCGGGGAGGTTGCCATATGCGAACATATCGTCAAATATGCAGTCCTGCAGGTCCTTCCCCTCACCGTGGATGCGGTCGCAAAAAGTGACGTCGCTGGAGTATCTATCTTCCACGTCCTCGTAGCCCAGCGCTTTTGCACGTCGATGCCTGTCGCGGCAGTCTTTGAGGACTGCTGATTCCACGGATGTGATTCCCCTGGGGCCCAGTTCTCGGCGTAGCAGGTTGGCTTGCTCTTCCGTCAAGGCTGTCAGCAAGCTTCCGCTCATCTTCCCAAACATTCCGAACCCGGCGAGACTTTGCATTCGCCGTTCAAGGATGCGGGTCCTCCTGTTGGGTTTGTTGGCCTCTTTTGTATCGCCACTTTCGTCCACTGGGAGTGGCTCAAAACCACATGTGGTGCATGTCACTTGGCCACTGACGTACTCAACCTGGCAGAGGGGACAGGAGCCCATGAAAGGTTCGCAGTACTTGGGTGCAATGTAAACACGGCGCGTCCTTGCGGGCGGCTGGTCAACTTGCATTGAGGCAGTGGCTTCATCATCATCAGTGGACTTGGCATCGGGTCGCCCCGTGCTGGTGTCATCCATTGGGTCGTCATTTGCATCATCTCGGGCAGTCAAGGTGACCGCTTTGGCTTGAGGCAGATGCCGCGCCAGTCCATGTGCTGGGCTCGAGATTGCTCTCGGCGCGGGACCAAAGCACCTGTCCTTCTTCTGAGATGCTGACCAGAAACTGCGGTGGGATGCGTTCTGAGCACAAAATCCCATCCATTTCTGTGCGACTAAAGATGACACCAGCTTCAACTGCTTGCCGCATTGCGATTTTGACTTCGATTGGACATTTTGCTCTTAATCCAGATCGATACCCCTGCGTGCCAATACAGTGTTCTGCCATGTAGATATGGGCACGGCCACTGTTGACTGTCGCACCGCCGCCTGGGATCAGGCCGTTCTGTGCGATGCTCTTCCAGCTGCTTTTCATCGTGCGATGGAAGACAACCTCAGGAACCTCAGTCATGGCACACAGGGGCACGCCAGTGAAGGCGGCTTTTCGCTCGGGGGATACATGGTCTGAGCAATACACCATGGTTGAATTGGCATAAAGACCCCCTGCGGTTTTCAAGGCAGCTTCGGAGTGACCCTGAATTGCACGGATTTTCACAGGATAATACGGCATGCCTAGGCCATTGTCGACAGGAAAATGGGAGATCTTTGCACACAAGAATTGGAACCTACTCTTGCCATGCTTGTCGATCTTCATTGCGGTGCCAAACAGGTTTGCGACAGTGATGAAAACATCTGGGGGCACTTCCTTGCGGAAGGCTTTGGCGAAATCCTCCAAGTCAATCCAAAGGTCTTTGTCCATTGGCACCTTGGCACAGGATCCATGCCCCCTGCAAACTTTGTTGACACGAGTTGCAAAATCAGAAAACTTCTTGTCGACGCGAGTCTGGCTGGCAATGGTCTCAACGTCGGATGCCGATATCAGCTCCAGCTCATAAGCCGTACCTTCAAAGAGGATGCCGGGCACATCGTCCCCGTCTGCATTGGTCACCATTGTATATTGGTATTCAGGCAAATGCTCTTCCATCCAATATGCTTTCACGTGGCCAGATGCTTGTCCCTCGAAGCGCGCAGTTGCCTGCGGCTGGTACTGGCTGGATGTGGCTCCCTTGTCATCTGCGGGCTCATCCATTGATGCTGGTGCTGCTTTCGGCCGCGACTTCAACATGACCTCAGCTGTCTGGACCAGGATTGTTGCTCTGCTGGATGCAGCGGGCTCGCCGTCGCCGGCGGCCTTTGGAGGGTCATCTTTGGGAGGCTCAGCAAATGTGCCCGAAGGCATCGTCTTGATGTCGATGTAGTCCTCAGTGTCAGGTTGTTGAGCTTCGACGTCCTCCTTGGTGAATGACCTGCCCGTCGGCACAATGTGTCTTCGGGACTCTCCAAAAAGCAACTTGGTGATGTTTGCACATGTCTCCTGATAGGATCTTGGCAGCTCGTCCAGGACGGCGCTCATGTTCCTCCGCAAATCATCCCATGTCTCCTGGGCACACTCAGAAAGCTCCAAACCAATTTGGCCGACCCGCCATCCGGAATCAAGTGCGAAAAGGGTAGCTGTCCAATAGGCAGCAAGGCGCGTGCGATTTTCTTCAGAGTTGGCGAAATGCCACTGGTCTCTGAATTCCATTGCATCGGCGTACCCCTTTGCTTTTAGCCACGGATACCGCGGATTGGCACGCCCTTGCAGGCTGCTGGTTAGAGCTTTGAATCGGGGCTCCAAATGGTCGAAGAATTGATCGAAAATTGGATGAATGCCGTAATCTGCGCTCCAGGGCGCGGTCGTGAGACCGGCCGTCTGCAAGTCCAACTCCCGGGCCTTGTTGATGAACCATGTCAAGTGGCGCTCACAATCATCCAGGATCGTGGGCCAGTGCCCGTTGGGACCA